TTTCTCCTAGTGTGTGCCAAAATGAACTGATTGGACACAGTTCAGTCCATAAGGTCATACATTAAACAAGTCCAAGACAAAAACCAAGCCAAGTAACTCTCTGTAGACCGCTAGTATAAAACTGCACCCATGCATAGATCATGATACGGGTCAAAAAAAGCCTAGCAAGTGACCTAATTCTGAAATGGAATAAGTTTCCAACTGCCAGCACTCTTCCCAAAGTTTGGAAAAGAATAATCATTTAAAGGCGCTCAGTCAGTGAAGTGACCGAGAACCAAACTGCCTCTCTAACAGCTCCAGACGTCTACTGCAGAGATAGGAGAGCCTACCAGAACTACCTGAGCAGCTCCTGATCAATCTTGGTTGTGATAGTAAAAATTCTCAAATCTAAGACAAAAAATTGAACACTGTATTTTGTGAATACCAGATCATCACCTGGCTAATGGGGAAAGGGCATTGAGGACGCTGCTCCACACTAGGCAACAGTTCATCTTTCAGCATGACTGCAAACTAAAACATGCAGTTTCGGCAGTGCTAGAATAGCTGCAGGTCAATTTTCTGTTTATACATGAGTAGCTAGGTAGCCCCAACACGGACCCCCATAGTATATCTGTAGAGAGGCCTGAAGATGGCAGTTCAGACACAGGCAAACGGGCCTTCCAACAGTACCGACTGGAGAGTCTGAACTTTAACAATAAGATTTTTTAAAATATATATACATATGTGTCACGGCGAGTGAGGTGAGCCGTGTGGAGGAAAATGAAGGAGGATCCAAGTGCAGGCAGTCGTGAAGGTGTAAAGGTAGTTTATTGAACATGAAAGTAAATACAAACGGCAAATGGAGCTGGAACTAAACTATACTGGGATCAACTAAACTATACTGGGATCAACTAAACTACAGAGCACAAACCTTAACGAGAACGACCAGAAGAGACTAACGGCGGACAGCAGGGAGAACACGCAGATGAGGCAGGGTGGAATACACAGACGGACCAGCAACTACAATGACGGAGGACACGACTTAAATACACACAGAGAAACACGGGAATTACACACAGCTGGGAACAATCCGTAAGACGAGACAGAGGTAAAACTGAACACACTCACATAAGACGCAGACCTTCACAATAAAACATCACACGCAGGCTCGACATAGAGAGACAGACAGGAAATGACATATGAAACTAAACCCACATCTTAAACCCAGATAAACAGAAACATGGAACTCTAATAATAGACATCATAAACATTACCATAACACGACAAGAGAACAAGAACACAATCCCTGATGCAAACTTAAATCAAAACACAATAAACTCTAAATACTGGGTCCAACGGACCCAGAACCGTGACAATATGTGTATAGATTTGTTTTAAAAACAGTTTAAAACATTCAAAAATATATTACAATGTGAAGAAGAAAATGTTAAAACATGTTTATTTAATGTCTTTTTATTTTAACCAGATAGTGCCTACCCATACACTCATTTAATACCACTTTGTTACTCTTGCATAGAAGCATTCAATGACTAAAACAATAAAGGCGACAATGCGTGCGACTCAACCAGTGGAGGGTCCCAGATGTAAGACTACATCTTCACATGTAGCTTATCCACCAGATAATCTTCAGTCTTATTTCTACATTGCTTTAAGCACCCTTTAAGTATTATAACACAAGCATGTGTAGAAGTGGCATCATTTGCGGCTACATTTAAGGACTATTTCACTGAATTGTAGTTCTGGGAGTGGGGAATGCTGTATAAACTGTATTAACAGCAGGTGTAATTATCTTAGCACAAAAACTGTCCTCTTGAAACTCACTTTGCAAAAACCTTAACTATTGCTAATCCAGGCTCCACATTTTATTCTTGTAAAGATGAAATTGATAACTTTACAGTTCCCAAGAGTGTATGATGCTTATTTTAAAAACCTTTTTGCTATGTGTTGATCCAGTTTGCCGCTGACTGTTTTAATTTATGCCCAGGCTTGAAATCGCTATTGAACATCACGGGGGCCAAGTGTTCCAAGCAATAACATGAATAATCCATTGGCAGTTCCTGTTAGACCAAAACAGAATGAGGCCATTCTCAATCACCATTATACTCAGGGGGAGTGCAACCAGGCTGTAGCAGCATTAGCCTTTCCTACTAAAAACTGATCACACTTTGCCTTTTGAAGTTGTAATCCATCTCACTAATAGGTGCACTTTGGGGTATTTAATATTAAATATTCTGCGAATGTATAATCACTTCATGAAAGAAATGGGTTTTGGAGACTTTTTCTTTTCTTTTCTTTTGCAGGCCCAAGTGCAATATATACTTTCATCCACATGAAAAAGCAAACTCAGTAATGCTGAGAGTGATTTGTGTTTGTATTATATTGAAAATATAAATAATCAATTTATAGGCTTTAGGCTTTTAATCGACCACAAGTAAGTCAGTTATGAGTGATCTACCAATTATGAGTTCCCAAAGAAATAAACGAAACCTTTCAACTTTACAGTGGAGATGCAAATCTGTTGATGGTTCCAGCTAGCTTCACATCCTGACATTGAGCTTCAGAGTTAACTGATGAAACTTGTGAACGCATGATTCTTTTCTTAAACACAGAAAACGTTTGCCCGCTCAGCGCGCACTTCAGAAGAAAATGGATATATCTCACCGCTTCTTGGCATGGAGACCACTTTAAATTCATCACACAGACCTATTGCCTATGCCGTGCACGTTTGTCAATCTGCCTGTGAAATGAAGAGCCAGGGGCTACTGACCCAGACACATCAGCTCCTTTTTGGCCTCTAACAACACTTTCTGAAGTCTTCACATTCACACATTGATTCATTATTTTCAGTTTGCTGCTGCCTTCGAGGACACGGCTCAGTTTTTGTGTGGAGTGAGTGGGCAACAAGTACAGTTTATACAAAGTGGTTATGATGGCTGATGCAACAGACTTTGAATAATGAATATAAAATAAAATGCATGAAAGTGAAAAGCTTTATCTTTTAAATGAAACCTTTGGGATGTACAGTTGCTACGAACATATAGTACTGTGCAAAAGTCTTGAGCCACCCTTCATTTCTTTATATAGATTTCTAGGAAAATGGGAAATGGATGCATTGATATGTTGATCTATTATTTGGCAAAACAGCATTTGTATGTTTCTAAAATCAATATTTGGTATGAGCACCTTTATTCTTTAACACACACAGAACTGTCTTAGGCAAGCGTTCTTGTCATTTCTTACATATTCTTCAGGAATAATTCTTCAGGCTTTTTCAAAGCTCTTCTTGGGATGTTGGCTGTCTTTTATGCAGTTCTGATGATCCCACAATTTCAATGATGTTGAGGCTCTGGAGAGGCCAACCCATGACTAACAGTGTCCTCACCTAGTTTCTGTCCAGTTATTGTTTTCCTGGCTGGCAGTGCATTTGGGATGATTGTCGCGCTGAAAAATCAACCAGTTGCTTTGCAAATGGAAATGCATGTTATGTTTCTGCATTTATTATTTCATTAATTTTGCCAAAATCCCCAACAAGCACCACAGGCTGAAATTAATGGTTGTCAAACTGTGTTTTTTCAGTAAATTAGCTAAAATAATCTGAACAGATTCTGTGGTTTAGCATCAGTCTGCTAACTTTCTATTTTGTCTGTGGCAATTAAAAAGCCACGTAAACCTTTCTTCAATGCTTGAATGATTTATTGGTCAATGTTTAGTGGAATACAAAATACATTGCCTTAAATTGCATTGCATCTGAAAAAGATCAGATATGAGGTCTGAACTGAAAATGAGTGAAAAAGCAGCCAATGTCCTAACTTGAGCCTCGTCTTTTCCACAGTCATGTACTTATACCTGAATTAGCTTGTCATATTACAAAAACGAAAAGTTTTCACTGCAATACTTTACACAGTGTGTACTGTGCACTTTTAAATCAACAATAGGCTCTTTCAAATTAAAAATCACACACCATTAATCTTTGTCACACTGAAAATGTTATGGCATTTTCAATTGAATTCCACCGCAAGCACAGATACTACAAAGACTTTGTCCTCTCTCTAGGTTCTTCTTTTCTCCTTCCTCTTACCCCAAACAGTAACAGCAGATGGCCACCCTCCCCGAGCCTGGTCCTGCGACAGCCTTCTTCCTGATAAAAGGGAGTGTTTTTTCCCCTCACCATGGTCACCAAGAGCTTGCTCAGCGGGGGCCACTGGATCATTAGGTTTCTATGAGTAATGTGTTTATGAGCACTGTAGTGTTTTGGTTATATATGCCTAAATAAAATGGGGGCACCATTAGGGTGTTATTTATAAAACATTTATTTAGCATACAACTGAGATGCATTTAAAATATTTACTCCAGTTTTGCAGTAAAATGTTCAAACATCTGTTACAATCATTGCTTTCTTAAATCAGCTGTGCGGTTTTTTTAACATACACATTCATGCCAGCTGGTTTAATTAAAAACAACAGTCCCATATATTGTACCGTAATAAGACAATGTGTCGTTACTTGTAAAGTTAATGAAAAGAAAGATATGCTATGACAATATACAATACACGACGTATTGAAAACTACCATATCAAAGTACATGAAATGACAGACCCCTGTTAAAAACTTAAGACAGACATCAAAATTTCTTCCAGATGCACATATGCAACAAAAATAAATACTGATGAAAACGTTTAAAATATTCTCAATGAGTGCTTTCCTCAGAAGAACATTCTCATCTACAGTAGCGGAAAATAGTACCTGAAAATGACAGCATCCCTTTTCTGTGAAATAAACTGGAGTAGAAATGAATATAAAAATCTAATAAAATACTCTTGATAAGTCTTTTTTTTATTCATAAAAATCAGTACAGAAATGAAAAGTGATTGTAGCTTCAAAAAAACAAAACAAAATACAAACTGATTGTCTGACATACAGAAAACATTGTTTTCTTTTTGGCCATGAAGTCCAAAAATCTCTGCAGGGCAAAGTGGCATCAGTGCACTGTCCACTACAGTTATACCCATTGTGTTCATTTGATGGATATGCACCAACACTGGCTTTAGAATAAAATGACAAAATAAAATAAATACAATCTCAAAACAGGTTACCCTTCTGCATTCCCAGTGTCTTGATAGACTGTTTGTAAACAAATGATGACTCGTTGTTAACCCGAGTCTGTTTTTGATCCAGCTCACTGTCAACAAAGGAAGAGCTAGTCTCACCTAAGAGATGTTAGGCACCGTTTCTTTGATGTTACACCTGCTGACCCCCATCATCACCTTCTTCTCTGTGTTGAACAGACATGATGCTCTGTTTTAACCTCTTTGTAAGCAAGTGACTTGCTCTGCCGCAGTAGGTGTGGGTGGTTGTCTGCAGCGACGTCTCCAGCGGTCGAAGCAGCGAGGTCTCCAAGTTGTCGCCGAATTGGTACTAGGATCAAAAGTAAACATGTTCAGCTTTCCTACTCCTCATTTCAGACATCAAACAATAAAAACTGCCTTTTAATTGCATTCTTTCCATGCCCACGTCGTTTTCGGCTGCTGCACCAACTTAAAATGCAGCTCTTCTCGTTCTCCTGCCTTTATGCCTTTAAAATAAATAAATAAAAGCAGCACAAGTGTTTGTTTTTAACACCTGTTGTTTCCTGTGACAGCTTAAAGAAAAGAAAAAGCACAATGACAACTACATTCATCTCACATGAATTAAGTGCCACATTTATCACCGTCACTTCCAGACAAAATAACATTCTGTTTTTGATTCGTATCTGTCAATTCAGAGTGTGTTCGAGTGATGAATATCTATTACCCCAACTATTCGCAAATGGGCTTAATAAGACGTGACAGCGTCGGGGAAAACTACAGCTGCTGCATTCCAGATATGCTTCATTATTGTACGCTTTTGTATCGCCAAGTAAACAGCAAAGGGGGGGAGAAAAAAAATTTAAAAAGAAACTTTCAGCCTCCTCTGTGAATGAATATTGGCAGCCAAGGCTTTTGTCACGTACGGTATGCAAATAAGAATGTGTGCCTTTCACTTTTATATTGAGGTGCACCAATCTTTTACTGCTCGAGTAAATAAGGGAAATCACTATTTTACAATGTCTTATTTGACTCGAGTTTGGCAAAGTATTACATTACTCAAAGCGCACTTTCTTTATTATCTTTCATATAGTGCAGAAGGCAATAAAATACCATTAACAGCCTCCTATTGATTTTTATGTGGATGTGGCGGGTGCGTTGTCCACACAGCCATCATGATGTCTCAAACTAGCATCAGCACTAAAAATTTTACAACTCTTCTGTGGGCTTGGCTGGGTAATGGTAGTGCCCTTTATTGCAAGCTCCTCTGCTGGCTGAGAGAGAGCCTGCCTTGGGAACTAGGCTGACTAAGGAGGTCTCGGTTGGATCGAAATTAGAGTTTGTTCGAGAATTGCCTGCGCCGAGCTTTGGGATGATAGCCTCAAAAGACTGGAGTGGGAACAAAGTGGGAGGAGACTGTGGAGCTGAAGCAACTGAACGCTCTGATTAAAAAAAAAAGAAAAGAAAACTTGAGCAGAACAGCTAAAGATAAAAACAAAAGGAGAATCATTTTTAAAAGATCTTCAGATCTCTCTTCCAATACAGCGACTGTGAAACACGGCCCTTTATCTTAGAAACATCTTCTCAACTTTTTGCTTACTAACGAGAATCCGCAGCACTCCTCTGCCTCCTAAAACCTTGTGGATATGGTATGTGCTGTATGCGTTTCTGTGCTGTCTGAGAGACTGATGGAAGCATGAGGACCGAGTGCCCCCATAATGAAGCCTGCTCGTTTTCTTAATGGCTGAGAACATTGCCCGCACTGATAGCGGCCTGGCTCGGCCCTGTGGCGGTAATGGATGGAGACCAGCTAATGAAGCTTCCCTTGCTCCCCCCAATAGCTGCCTGCATGTTGACCGGTAAGCTGAAATCAAAATGAGCAGATCGCAGGGGAGCTGCCAGCAAAACAGTGAAAGAGCTCTCAGGCTCTTCTGCTTGCTCACTTATGATACAAGTGCTGCATTTTAGCCTTTCAAGGCCTATAAGCTTAAACACATTTCAAGTTTCCAGGTGCTTTTTTTTGTTCAGTCTTTATTTCCAGGTGGTGTCCTGTGTCCAGACTTAAAGATGCTATGTTGACACTTTTTACAGTTGTTAAATCAAAATCAGACCTAGCCAGTTGTTTCAAACGGGTAAAAATCACACCTATGTTATTTACATCAAAACGCCCAAAAAATACCAAAAAAACAATAACAGACTAATCCTACGAACATACACTGATTAGGCATAACATTATGACCACCTGCCTAATATTTTGCTGCCAGAAAGAGGCCAGACCTATCGAGACACGGAGTCCACTTGACCCCTGAAGGTGTGCTGTGGTATCTAACACCAAGATGTTAGCAACACATCCTTTAAAAGGTGGGTCCTGTATGGATCAGACTTGTTTGTCCAGTACATCCCACAGATGCTCGAATAGACTTGGCCTCCAGAACTCAAAGTCAATCCCTAAAGTCATTACGCACCTCAAACTATTCCTGAACCACTTTTGTATTGTGGCAGGGCACATTATCCTGCTGAAAGAAGACACAGCCACCAGGAAATGCCATTTCCATGACGAGCTTACAATGTCTGCTGTATTGCTTAAGTACATGTCAAAGTGACAGTCACTTGGATGGCAGAACCCAAGGTTTCCCAGCAGAACATTGCACAGAGCATCACACTGCCTCTGCTGGCTTGAAAGAAACTGTTAGTGTCATTCACTTCACCTGTCAGTGCTCACAGTGTTAAAGCCTGATTGGTGTATACTGTTTGTGTCATCAGTGCCGAACAAAAAAAAAAAAGAAAAAAAAAAAATCACACTCTGTGACACGAGTCTTCCATTACATAAAAAACCCCAAACACAGCATAGCCAGAGGAGCTGTAAATCTTCACAACACTGAAGAAATGATCTAGATGGTTAAAATACATGTTTGTGAACTGTATTTAAAGATATACAGTCAGTCTTAACAAAGTGAAAAATATTGACAGACAATTGGTTTCAGTCCTTTCACCCAATTTGTGGACAAAGTGACAAAAAGCCTTTTTCTGGAAAGCAGCCACATTCAATAATAGTTAAATAAATTCAGCTTTGCGTAGATTTGTCAGGCATTTGTGTTCACAGTGGTATAAAATCTAAGTGAAATGACCTCTTTGTCTAAACTGCATGTGAAAATGTTTGAATAAATGCCTTAAATGTTGAGAAGCAACAACTTTGGCTTGAATTTTTAACCTTGCAGTTAATAGGATACCAAGCAACCGTTTCACTGACTAAAACTGGATGGAGCCGACATGCCTGGTTTGGAAGACCAAAGACAGGATGATGAAAATGTTTAACAGGCTATTGATTAAGCACTCGTGGATGGAAGCATCTATAAGAGAAAAGCACTGACCTGCAGTGCTTATTGATAATGTAATAACTGGCAAATGTTTCTCCAAAATAATCTGGTCTTCCTACAAAACTGCCCTCAAAAAGCAATTTCTCACAAGAATAAACATGTCCCATGATATATTAAATATCTTCTAACTTTTTCCAGTCAGTTATTTCAAGAATGTGTTGTAAACCTTTGGAAGAATAAATGTTTTAATACCTTCAGATATGTGGCTAATTTTCATATTTGATTTTTTAAAATATTTCTTACATTTGAAAACTTCTAAATTAACATGCAAATAAAAATGATTTCATGATCTGTTTATTTTCTATGAATTAAAACTGTGTCTGTTCTTTGAATGATTGCGGTTTAAAGATTCCAAGAAATAAACAGACACTTGTAACGTGTTTCTAAATGATTAAACTTCTGATAAAAACCCCATTAGGTTTACAAGAAACCACTGATCGATCACAATCCACACAACGTTAACGCCCCAAGCCAAAGATGGAAGAGTCGGCAGCATCACTGAACGGGCAAATTTCACTGGCTGACTGCCAGGTCCCACCCCCAGGCGTGTGCGGCTGTCCCGAGCAGGGGGTTTACCCTCGCAGCCGAGAGGTTTCCTTGATGAAGTATGAAATATGAAATATTTGCTGTTTATTTGGAGTCTGTGCTTCGGAAGCCGTTCAATAAATTACATTTGACATAGTTTTGAGGGATATTTGCAAACTGTGAACCACTGAAACACTGACAATAAGTGCAGCTGTTCTTTGTAGCAACATTTCTTAGCTACTTTAGTGTACAGCTTGGATTCTCAATCTGCGTCTTTGGCTGACTTTCTTGCATGCTGTGTCTCATATACTTCACTGAACAGAGTTTTCCGTAAGAAGGAAGGACACTTGAATATTTGTTCCCCTTGTAAGGTAAGGTAGACTTCTGTGAAGATGCCCGTACCTTCTGAATTGCTTCATAGACAGCTCGAAATGCTGGCTGTTTGTCGTCATGATAAACTCCTCTGTTACCATGGAGAATAAAGACACCTTCTTGTTCAGCCTGTTGACAGTTGCTGCCATAGATACAGTGGTCTGGACGGTAGTTCCACTGGCAGGGAAACATATACAGGCTTTCTGTAACATAGTAAGATGAGTGGGTTGACAATGATTCAAAAGAAAACCATTAAAATCCCTGAAATTTGTACTTGACAGTAAACATCCAAAAGAAGAAGCTTCTTTAATTAATCTTTGTCTGCTGGTCTGACTTAACTATCATGACACACAATAACGCCATGTATGTGGTTGCACTAACCTGGGTTATGGTGGAATATGATATTAAGAAGGTCCTGGTCACCCCAGGTGATGTTGAGCTTATACTTCTGGAGAAGGGGCATCAACATTTCCTCCCACTTTAGTGTAACTGTTGTCATGTCATTCTGGAACGACAAAACGCAGAAGGGATGTGTGTCCTTCTGATTCTAGAAACCATAAACATGCCATTTTAGCCAATCAATCATTTGGGGAACACTTCCCATCCACGCAAAGGAAAGGGACTGTCTGTCAGCGAGCTCTCTAGGAAGCTTTAGCATTGAATTACAAGAGTGACCTCAGCTGGTCAATTTTAGTGGTGCAGAACAGCTACTTCTAAGGATTTAAGAACATTAGACAGCTCTAGAGGTTTCAGTCAAAATGCAAACCTAACATGGAATTGAGAAAAACATGCCTAATGCAGTCCTTGTTTTAAAACAGAGTACTTATTTAGACATTGTATATTAAAGGCCATAAATGTATATCATGACCAAACCCTTTTTAATAGCTGATACACTTTCACATATATCATGACACAATGCGGTATAACCATTAGGCTGGTTAATAAGCAACAGATTTATCTTTACCTTGAACATTTTTTCCCTGAGGCGTGTCATGTTCATGAGCATGACCCCGGAGTTGATGCCTGTCTTGCCGTAGTAAGGGTGGCGGGCAAAACGATTGTACCAGCCGATACGTGGTTCCTCATGTTCTGGAGCCATGGCAGCTAATTGCCTTGAATTGAACTGAGAAAGCAGAGCCCACATGTCTTCTACTGGCTGCAGAAAAATAATGTCTGTATCTACATAAAGCAAGGAGTCTACCTCCTTCAGAATCAGCTGCAAAAGACATATAGAAAAAAAAGATTAGTATATTCTGAAAAAGCATTACTGTATTAAGCTATCTGAATGTAAAAAGATACCTACTGGCAGAAAAAGCCTCTGAGAGGCACAGGGTTTGAAGAGTTTCTTCCATTCTCTTGCATTCTCCTTGGGAAAAGTGATAGGGTAGATGCTGGAATTAAACCTTGCCCGAACTCTCCGAGGCCACGATTCCAGCTGAAAAAAAAAACAAAAAAAAACAAAAAAACAGAAAAGCACTAATGTTTAATTGCATCTCTTTTTGAGCTCTTTCATTCATTATGCATCTTTGTCTTTAGAACAAAAAGCACCAAAAACTGGGTAAAGACTTTACTTTCTTCCTTACTTAGTCATAACTGGACACTTAATGCTGTTTCTCCTCTGAAAACAATGAATTGTAGAAGACTAGCTCCTTGATACAGTTTGCAAATGTGTGTTTTTAAGCAGCGGCCCCCAACCCCCGGGCCACGGACTGGTACGAGTCTGTGAGTCGTTTGGTACTGGGCTGCGAGAGTTGAGGCTCGGGTGTGAAATTTATGGTTTTCCGCGTTTTTATCATTATGTTTTTTTTTATCATTAGCTCTGTTTCCCTGGGTCTTTTCCCATGTGTTATGAATAAATTTTTTTTGGTACTGGTTTTATTTTGTTGTATTTATCCACGACACCTTAAAGGCCACTCAGTGAAAAAAATAGTTGGACATAAACGAGTCTGTGGCGCAAAAAAGGTTGGGGACTGCTGTTTTAAAGCAGATATCTTGAAAACAGGAACAGAAAGTGACAAAAGTTACTTGCCATGGAAACCTGGTATTTCCACCGGAAAACAAGACCAACCTCAGGTTTTTTTATAGCATTGTAGCTAAGCTGCCAAAAAGCCATAGATCTGTTGAGCCTTGTATTGTTATAGCTCGCTAAGGTGACTCTGAATTAATCCTCAGGTATGTTTCTACAGGCCAAGGCTGCTAGGATACCTTTCAAGATACATTTAGTAACCCTAATCCTTTTTGTTTGTTTGTTTTTTACTTGCTGGTTTCCAAGTGTTTTCTCAGACACAATTAAAGATTTCTCTGTACTGTAAAGGGGCCTGAGATGACCATTGTTGTGAAGTTGCACAGCATGAATAAAAAAAACTCCAAAGGAACAGTTGGGCTACGAGTTGAGATGGGTTGAGAAACATAGCAAATGAAACCACATATGCTTACAGTGTTTCTGAAACTCTTGTGAAGTTCATCCTCAGCAAAGATGTAAAAGTGCAGAGGCTTTTTGCTGAAGAGAACAGCAGACTTCAACATGGTGATTGTTTCCTCTAGCCTGGGGCCACAGGCCACAACAGCCAGGTGACTCCTCTCATCCCTGCTTTCTGCCTTCACTGCAGAGTTTGACCGCTCACTAAGAGTCAAGAGAGAGGTGGAAGAAGAAAAAAATTAAGGTGTTTGTTTTTACATTAGAATGGATACACTGGCAAGTGCAAAAGAAAAAGTGAGTCTCGGCTGACTGGTACTCAGCCCTGTAGGATTGGAACTGTCATTAGATTTAACAGAGGGACTCAGAAGAGAACAATCATTCATACTTTTTGCTGCCTTCAAGTGCTTCTTGTGAATTACTGCTTTCACGTTTGGACATAATGAATGTAGCCTGTCATATTCAATCATTTCCATGTATGCACAGAAATGTTTACTGTATGGAAAACCCATTAACACAAATACAATAAGCAAAATGTGATATTTTATTCAGGCCTCAAATTTGAACTGGTTGTTTCCAGCCTTGATTAAATTATACCACAAAAAACCTTTTATTATACATAAAATGAAAGATTTAATGCTTTAATGCTGTGCTAGTACGCAGGAATGCAAAAACTCAAAAACAGTCACACAGAACACTGTGGATGCAGCAGTTATCAAGCATGTACTCTGAACTGTGGATCTACGAAGTAGGTGAAAAGTGTAAAGCTGGAGGCAGTTGATTATTGCAACATGTATCATTCATAGTTTCACAAAATCAGGCATACCTAAAAGATGATTCCAATAAGCAGTTCACTCCACAAACATCAGCAGGCAGTCTCCAATATGGATTCCAGTAAGAAACTGACTGTGACTTACACCTGACAGAATAGAAACATCATCTTTTGGATCCTCAGAATCAAATCGCTCTCTCGGATATCAGTAGTGTTTTGCGATTTTCATTAAGATTTGTTTAACATGTGGCGGTTCTTTAAATCCAGCCTAAAGCTAACCTTAAGCTTATCGGTTATCTAGCAAGCTAACAGGTGGTAGCTAATGGTTGTTTTCAGATTATGTGGTGAAAAACAGCACAACTAAAACACTGAACATTTTTAACTTATCCAAAACACGCCAAATTACTATTTGTTTGGTAGCTGGCTAACGTAAACTAGGTTTTACGATACATGTATCGGCTCGTACACGCTAGCTGAAGCAAGTAAACTAACGTTAAACTGCAGCGATATGCTAAAGGTGCAAATGAAGCTGTAACAAACAGGTAAAGCTAACTTCTACTAATTTTTGTAGTTTAAGTGTAAAATTGGTTGACACAGCTAGCTAAGCTACCTGTCAAGCCCTTCTTCGCGGTCTCGGAGGCCTTCCAGGCCTGGCCTTTTCCTGAGAAGGTGCCCGGTGTCATGACTTTTCCTGCCGGGTATTCCGTGTTCTTTTACTCTCCACCCGTCTCTGTCCTCTAAGGTGGAGGCTAGCTGATTGAACACATACAAAAAGGAAAAGAAGACGAAGATCATGCACAGGAGAAATGTGTGAAGATAGCATCGCATCTTGCGCTTCAGATTTTATAGGTTAAAGAAACATTTTCATGTTAAGCTTAGCTAGCTATCACACGACATATCACCAGCTAGCTACTTTATCGCATTAATAAGTCAGAAAGTAAGCAGACAGGCACAGTTGGTGTTTACAGTTTCAGCCCCACCCACTTCTGTTACACGTGTTTTGTCTTATCAGCCATGTACCCACACTGCGCCACAGTTTACAGTAGTAAGTGGCACATGCAGGGCAGAGGTGGAGTCATTCACAATTACAGCACACATTGTAGAAAAAAAACAACCAAAACCCATAACGATTCTACAATCAGTATCATTCCTTCTTGAACGAAATTCAGGGAACGCTCAAAGCGCCAACTGAATACACGAATAATGAAGTTTTAAACTTAAAAGCTTAGACAAAATAGTCTCCTTTATAAAGTGGTGGTACATATTTAAATCTCCTGTAGTTACTGGTGTATAAGCAGTATTTTTAATGCATTAATGCGCCATATTTTATATCCGTGTCAAATGTGCAATACTTCTCTGAAAAGCAGGGAGGCGTGTGTGTGCGTGCGGGTGTGAATAAACAGGTGGAAAGATGAAAGCATCTCAAAATTGCATTCGTGTTCATTAACTGCAGAAATTTAAGTTCTTTTTGATCATTAAAAACAAAAATAGCCAAATATCTACAACTTACTTTATTCAACATCATTTTACAATATAAACCAGTCTATAGATTAGATCATGCTCAACTCTACCAAGTGAAGGAGAAGCATACCGAGAATAGCTCATCAATATTTGTACTAAAAAGTTACACAGTAAACATTTATTGCATTTAACGGGATTAAAAACAATGACAGCCGGATAAGGCCAGAAAAACCAACAGTGTTATGATTTATGATAATGGTAAAATTATAATGCTTTTTAAAAAAAACAAACAAACCCAAAAACAACAAAAAAAAACCCAGAAACATTCTCATCAACAAAGGTTGACATTAAGTGCAAAACACAACAATTTTCAGAGGATGAGCTACAATTGTGAGATGAAGACACATTTCTTCCACAATACATCATTTAATCTGTGCTGTAACGACAAACTGAAAGCGATGCTTGTGTGACACTGAGGTGTTAAACGCAAGTTGCCACAGCACGTGGCGCAGTTCCTCTGACGTCCAGGATTTAATGCTACAGTTCCTTTTCTCAGTTCATCATGATAGATTTTGCTGCAACAGGTCTTTGAACCAAGCAGACGCCTTACATATTGACTCCTGAATTGTTTTACTATTGGAAGGCACTGGGAAAAAAAAGTGAATGCTATCATAGTGGCATATATAGTATTATTAAAATAATGTGCATTTTGAAGTTTAATCTCTGACTGAGGTTGTTGAGAGTGCAGGAGAATGGGTTGTGCTGACCAGGGCTGTGGATGTTAGTGAGTCTCTCCGTTAACTGACGAGCTTTCCCCACGGGGCGAAGAGCATCTGGAGACACCTCGTTCAGTATTATCAGAACTTGAGCCGCTCAGATTGTGTTGGTCTCCTGAGGCAGTGGTTACTGGAGTGGACGTGGGTTTGGCTTTCTCCTTAAAGTCTGTGATTATTACAGTCAAGTCTCCAACTGTGACCTCCAGATGCTGGGCGCTGCTCCTGTCTATGTTTTTTAACCTGGGCCTGTTGAAGCAACCCAAAACAAATGGGGTCTAAGTACAGCTTAAAGGGTAAAAAAAACATTTCAGTAGCAAAAGAAAAGGAAAAGCAAAAAAGAAAATAAATCAAGGATTACTAAATAGAGTGACCCATTCATTGATTTCTTTGGAAAACAAATTCTTTACCTCATCTTTTTATAGCCCTTCTTTTTCAGTGTAGGTTCTTTATCACTTTTGTCTTTCTCTGATTTTTCTTTCTTCTCCTTTTTGGGATGTGTTGGTGGGGGAAACTGCTGATTTACTTGCTGTGCAACCAGCTGAGAAACAGGCCGCGGTTTTCTAAAAAAACAAAACAAAACAACAAAAAAAAACCAAAAACTTGGAGTTATATCAATTATTAATCTCTGCCTCTCTTCCACAGTGTCACTAATGCCCTGTCTTCCTCCCCTGACCCCCCAACCTGTCGACGGAGATGTCTGCCCCTCTCTGAGCCTTGTTCTGTCTGAGATTTCTTCCTATTAAAACTGAGTTTTTCCTTTCCTACTGTTGCCAAGTGCTTGCTCCTGGAGGATTACCTAATTGTTGGGATTTTCTCTGTATTATTGTAGGGTCTTTACCTTGTAATATTCTTATGCTTTGAGGTGACTGTTGTTGTGATTTGGTACAACATAAATAAAATTAAACTGAATATTTAGATCACTCAACCAGTAAGTCGGGTGAGTGAGAGGTTTAGACTGCTTGACTGTGTGTATTAGGTAATTAAAACAAATTTGTGTTAAACTCTTGTCATCAGTGTGTTAAAATGGGCTCCACAAGTTGATGTTATCCAAGCAAGTAGAATCATTCAAAGGTTTAATCTTAAACTGCTGAAGCTTAACTGGAGCATTGGAACAAAAAGATAAAATATTACATAAACAACAGTGATTGAATTCACAGATTCATATACATTTCTGATAAACTCTGCAATGTATTTTACAGAGCAACAACTGTAGACCCTCCTTCTCCACCAAGAACCTTTCAGTCTACATCAGCTGGGAAAACGTGTAAAGAGTTTTGCTCTCATGGTACAGCCACGTTTTAGTTTTACTATAATGACACAGACAGCCGCACGCTTGCACCCTATCAGGTGGACTTCTAAGAAGTATAATAGGAATGACGACTTGTCTGTTCACGCCCACAACAGAATTTAATCTCTGAAAATTTAGCGACTTTTTGCTGTTCTCTCACTACTTCTTCAAATTGCCATGGCTTCATTTGACAGTGAAAAAGGCACTTGTTACAATTCTAATACACTGTGGAATTTGTTTTGTGACAATTCTCAATCTAATTTTGCCATGATGTCTTTAGACTTCTACGTAACCTTCAGTAATGGATTGACCTGACTCTTGGTCCAAGCAAATACATTTACAGTCTCACCTTTGCAATTAATTTTCTTCCTCTGTAGTCTTTCCTACAAGGAACAAACCCTATGCTTTATGTTTACACCTGCAGACACATGGCCAGTGTAGAAACTGGAAAGTACTATGAAGCAAGTTCAACATACCCATGGTATGCATCTGTTACCTAATTTCAGTTATCCTAACAATGGTGATCAAGATAAGTGGTCATAGGAAACTGATTATCAACTTGCTAAATTTAGTCCAAGGTTTCCTGATTTAGGTATAAGCGTGCTTACATGAAAGGGGTGGCATTGTGATCTGGCAGTCACACTTCAACTGAGCGATGTGAGATAAAAATAACTGTAGACTACCAGACACAATAGGTAAGATTTCAAATGCTTTGGTCAAAAAGACTGGAACAAAAAGGACTAATAAAATTTAGCCTATTTAAAGCTACCCAACCCCCCCCATAAACTGAAATCCTGCTTCCTCATACGGGCCTATGACATTGACATATTATACTATATGTCATATAGTATATGACATAGTCTGACAATGTGTTAAATATTGATCTGATTGGAGAGTGGTTGGCTTTATTCTGATTTAAGTATTTTGGAAGGTTATGTAAGGCTGTAGAGCTGTACCATAATGAGAGATAATTAAAATTTGGTGTGTCCTCTGTACTATGAATGAGGTGGACACAATATTACAACTACAAATTAAAGTATAATTCAATTGAATGTAATAAAACAAAACAAAACGGAAATACTAAGGTCGTAAGCCCAGCCAATAAAAACGCCTAAATAAAGTTGTCACGCGTCAACATCACAAATGTAAAAAAGAAAAAAAATTGGGGGAAAAAGGAAAGAATGAAAAGCGACTACGTGAATGAGGTTTCGCACAGCTGTGGGTAGTAATTAAAGCAGTTATGGGGTAGGTCCAGTTTTTCTTACCGAGTTGACGTGCCTTTTCTGACATCACACATCATGCACTTGAACGCCTCAGCGCTGTTCCTGAATGTGCACACGCTGCAGTCCCAGTAACCATCGTCGGAGGAGGGCTTCGATTGCCGCTTTGGCCTTCAGACAGAAACAAAACAAAAACAGAGGGACAGTGGCAGTTTTACAGCGGGAATGGTGATTTCACCAACTACGTGTGCGACTAAGGTTACCGCTGGTGGAAATCAACCCTTCGAGGAAGTAGTTTCTGCTCAGAAGGCAGTCAGTGAAGCAAAGCGAGTCTTCACTTGACACAGGCAGTTGCCCCGTATTAAACCAGCAGCCAGCCGCCATGAACACTTCAGTAAAACGGCTTCATCCATTCACGGTGCTTTGCCTTCACGAATTGTCCGTTTAAGTCTAAATTCAAACACACTAGTGAAAGTTTTACCTCGTGGGACTCTTCTTGTCTCCCATTTTTTGAGAATCGCGGTCTTACAGGACTTGAAAAGGATCGATGTTACAGGTGAAAAGACGCATTTAGCTGCTGCTCAGCTGTCGGAGAAACTCCTGTCGAAGGGCGGTCACGTGCTGCGGGTTTACCCAATCACTTTAAATGTAATCACAAGCGCTATAAATGTGATTAAAAGTCTTATTACTGCAGTAAACCGCATGGAAATGCATAAATGCTATGGTATATTCAATATAGTACGAGACAGGATTTTAAGAAAGAATAGAATCTTTTCGAGTAGGACTAAAAAAATATTTAGGCGTAATTCACTTTAATGTTAATATTTTATGAGATAAAACTCAACCAAAAAGCCTATCGATCTGTTTTGCTAT